AAAAAAGAAAAAAAAGAAATGAAAAGGCCAACCATTGATTTCAAATTCATAAACAAGTTCCACTCCAATGAACAAAAGCAAAATAAAACCCATGATTCTTCCATTAGTTTCTTTCTTTTATGACTCAACTCAAATTGGCTATTCAAATCGATAAAATCCCCTAAGGAAACCCAACATTATCATAGCTAATCTATGTTAGAACAAAAACCTACGCAATGAGAAAAACCCAAATCATAAAAATCAAGACTCAATCAGGAACAAAAGAAATTACATCATTTAGAAGTGAAAAATGAAAAATATGGTAGTGAGTCGAATGAATGAGAGAAGAGAAGCAACAACATGGAAGAGAAGCAATAGCTAATGCCTACGGGATTGAGAAAGATCTAGCAACTAATCTAATCTTACGAGGTTGGAAAGTGTTGAAAAGATAGAGATTGAGAGAATTTAAGATGAGACGAGAGATGAGTGAGCTTGAGAGGAATTGAGAAGGCTAAAGGAATCGAGGTCTGAGGTAGGGATGGCAACGGGCCCCGCGGGGCCAGGGACCACTTCCCCATCCCTGTCCCCACGATTCACGGGGACGGGGATCCCCGCGGAGATTTTTGACAGAGGGCAGCTTTTGCCTTCCGTCCCCATTCCCCACCAAATATCAAATTCTAATCTAAAGAGCAGATGGCTTTCGGTAACAGCAGAGCAGAAGGGTTCGTGAGCAGCAGCCAGTAGAGTGAGCAGTAGCAACGTAGAAGGGTTCGTGAAGAGCAGAGTAGATTCATGAGTAGCAGCAGAGCAGATCATGAGCAGTAGCAGCGCAGATTCATGAGCAGCAACAGAGCAGATTCATGAGCAGCAACAGAGCAGATTCATGAGCAACAGTAGCAGAGATTCATGAGCAGAGCAAATTCATGAGCAGCAGCAGAGCAGATTCATGAGCAACAACAGAGCAGATTCACGAGCAACAACCAGAGGCAGAAATTGAGATCTGGGAAGGTGAGAGTGAGACTGTGAGAGTGATTAGAATGGAGAAATGAATTAGGATTAGGGTTAAATTTAGGGGAATGAGTTGGGTTGAGTTTGGTTAAATTGGATTGGGTTGAGTTTGGTTTAGTTGGATTGGGTTGGGCTGGGTTGAATAGTATTGGATAAGTTAATTTTAATTGGTTTGGATTTAGGTATAAATTTGAAGAGTAAATTAAATTTTTTTTTTTTTTTTTGCGGGGATGGGATCCCTGTGAGGCCCCACGAGGAAGGGAAAATTTTTCGTGAAATTTCATGAGGAGAAAATGTTCCCCGTCCCTACCCTACGGGGACCGGGGGAAATTGCCACCCCTAGTATGAGGAGAGGTGAGTGTGTTTGAGAGAAAAGATGAGATGAGAGAGTCAAGTGTTTGTGGTGGTTAGGGTTGGTGTGTTTGGTGGAATTGAGAATTTGGGATAAATATTTGGGTTGGGTTGGGTTTGGGTAATTAACAATTGGGGGTTTTTTTTTTTAAATAATAATATTATAATTATTAATTTATAAAAAATAATTTTATAATTTTTTATTATATTCAGATTCCTACGGGACTTGTAGGGTAAAAAAAATTCCTTGTGAAATGTTGTGGGATAAAGAACACCTCTATCTCGACCCCCACAGAAGCGAATATTTCAAGAATCTTTATTCCTGTGATGGGGAACTCCATAGAGCTCCACAGGCATGGAGCTTCGCCGGTTTCAACCAAATTGCTATCCCTATATAGCACGCCAAAAAAATTAGTAAAATACCACCAATAATTTGGTACACCGTACACACCAAAACAATGCCTAAGCCTACCCCTACCAGTATGATTGGTTCAGGAAAGGAAGGGTGGGGGGAGCAGTTGCAGAGCCAGAAAACCAAGTGGAGGGAGCAAATTTTTTTATTGATAATTTGAGTTTTAAACATCTTTTATAGGATTAGTTAATTTATTTATTTTTTAAATTTTAATTTTAATTTTTTTATTGATATCTTCTTAAAATATTAATAAACTTAAGAAATTGATATGTTTTCTTCTTTCATATTTTTAATAATTTTATTAAATGAATGATTTTATTAAAATAAAAAACAACACTTTATATGATAGTATTTAAATAGTGATCAACTAATTCAAATAAGTTTAAAATTTTACTCTTTTTAACCTAAAATATATTTTATTATTATTATTTTTTTGAATATTTTTGTTATGAGGTCGGCTCGAACCGTTGCCCTGGGAGATGAGGATATGAACCTTTACAAACGTGGCTAGAACCACTTTGACTCGAAAGGTCAAGTTTATATTTTTTTATTCATTTGTTTATTAAAAGTTATTTTTTCAGATTCCAAAGTACTGAACATAATGAAAAAGAGGACATGTTATTTAATACTTAGAAATTGAAACTATTAGCTAAATAAAGACATAAGCATCTTTATCAACTAATTTGTTAATTAAATCATTTTCTAAAATATATAACAAATATTAAAAATTAGAATCCAAAACAATTCAAAAGCTTAAAGGAAGAGTATGTTTGAGTTTGTGTTTAATTAATAACCTCAATTCCTAAGTTATTTAATATGCAGAAAATTCATTTATTTAGATTAAAATAGTCTCATTTTTGCAAAACATTTAATTAAATCTTAATTTTTTTTGTATTTAAAATGATGGTTATAATAAAAATATTACAAATTGTATTAGTTTTAAGTTGTTAAATATGAAAGATCATAAAGAATTAAATGATAATATCTTAAATTTAACATAGTAAATATAATATTTAAAAATTTTAAAGGGCCAAAAAAAAAAGGTACTAATTTTGAAAATTTTCAAAAGTTGAGATGGTTGCCACCCCCACCCCCCCTCACACTCCCTCCCTCCGCCCTTGGAGGGGAGGAGAGGGCAGGGCAAGGCAAGACAATGCAAGGGTGAAACCCCAAATTCACTTCCTTAATAGAAAGGTCGGGACAAATCTGTCCCTTAAAAAAATAATGACAAATTACTCCTTTAAATTATTTACTATTTAACTGGTAACGTCATCACATATTAACTTTTTATTGAAAATAGACTTAGGTGGCAAATGAAAAGCTGACATATAATGATATTACACATTAAATAATAAGTGATTTATCTTGATCAATAATTTAAAAAGTAATTTGTCTTTACTTTTTTTAGGGATGAATAAATTCTTATTCCTCTATTTGAAGGCAAATTTGGGGGTTTAGTTAGAGGGAAGGAGAGGGGAGCAAAGGCGATGAGAGAGGAATGGAAGGACATTTCCTTATTTGGATAAGTGAAGAAATTATAAGCAAAAAATAAATGAAAGTATTTCCCCTCCCTTCCAAATGTTCTTGTAATCAAATAAAAAATTTTCACCTCTCCCTACCACCCTCTCAAACTAAACGTAATATACAAACCTTATGTCCCCCTAAAGAATGGAAGAATAGTAGTTGCATGGAGCGCGGGAGCGGTTTTGACGATTCCGAATTCCCCTTCTCTTTTCTATTTTTATTGTCTGGGCTTTGATGCCAAACTGGAGAAATGGGCTAGACATATGTGTAGGTGTACATTTTCCACGGACCCAAAAGGTATTTCAATTGGTTCATAGACCCAAAGATATTGTCTCTTTTTCACCAAGCCTTGGGCTGTTGGACACTAAACCTAATCAAACGCAGCTTAAATTTCTAAAAATCTAGAGGCGATGCCAAGCTTCCTGTTGCTGTGTTTTTAATTTAAGTATAATAAATGTAATTATATTTTTTTAATAATAATAGTTATGTAATTGTTTCAAATATTTTATTTTTTTATTATATTAAATGATAGGTTATACAAAAGAAAACAACTCTTTTCTTTTCTCAAATACCTTTCCACTTAGTCAAAATTTGAATTAAAAAATTTTAATTTAGAATCTCATATTTTTATTCAGTTAAGTTACTCCCTTAACAGCATTGTTTCAAATCTTATTATAATAGTTGTGTTGTAGAGATTGAATTTTTTTTTTTTTAATTTGTGGTTATATAATAGAAAATAACACTCTCTTATATTTTTAATGTTATAGTAATATATTTCACTATATGAATTGTTTTTGGTAATTGAGAGTTGGAATCAACACTTCAAATTTTGTTATTTTTGTTTGAATATAATGTTTTTCACATGGCTAAGACTACAACTCAATGTTTTTGGACCCGACCCGATGGTTGACCCATTTTGGTCACCAGGTCTGGTTGAACCTGTTGAATTGGTTCACTTGATTGGTCCAATCGGTTGACTAAAAACACTTTTTTTTTTTACATTTTTATTAGATTTTAATCATACATTTTTTAAATCTTACGCAAATTGTCAAATTTGTTTTGTTGGTTGAAGGAGAGTATGGTGACTGGCAGAGGAGAGAGTAGATGCAAATATGTGTAGTCGGTGGAAGAAGAAAGGGGATGTGACAGGTGAAGGTTGAGAAGGCTGAGATCGGGAAGAGGGATGTGATAGGTGGAAGAAGAAGAGGGATGTGACTAGCGAAGGTTGAGAAGGTTGAGATCGAGAAGAGGGATGTGACTAGCGAAG